GGCACTGGGCACCCTGAGGTGCTGTGGAGGCAAGTGGGGGTGCAGAATGAGACCCAAAGAGCTGCGAGAAGAGTGGTGGTGGGGTGCAGACTAGACAGATCCATGGAGGGGTTCCCCCTCCCAAACTTGCAGGTGGTCGAGACTCTACATCCCCTCCTTGTGCAGGGGTGCAAGGGGATGGATTTCCTGGGGCTGGGGAGCTCTTTGCCAGGCAGCCCCGATGCCAGGGTGATGGGCAGGAGGCAACACCTGTGGCAGAGGGCAGGGGCTGCGAGTGGCTCGGCATCGATGAGCCAGGTCCTGGAAGTGGGAGCACTGAGAGGCTTAAAGGGAAGGAGGGCTGAGCCAGCTGTGGGGACCCCACAGCCAGCCCTGAAGGGACGGGCTGAGCCAGCCACCAGGTTTGGAAAGAGGGCTGGGAGCAGTGCACGTCTCCCCTCCCTCACTGCTCAGCCCTTCTGACTGCAAGGAGGGAAACTGAGGCACAAGGTGGCAGCTGGGATGAAAGGGAGAACCTCTTTTAATGAGGCAAAGGATCCCAGGGAAACCACCTGTCTTCCCACACACCTTTACTTGCCTCCGAGGGCTTTGGGGGTCCCCCAGCCCCCTCTGCTGGGGCTCCAGCCTCCCGAGGCGATGGGGACAGAACTGGGGACACTCCTGAGGGGAATTTATACGGCCTCCTCCCTCCCATTTTCATCCTGCACGCAGGGAGCAGGAGCTGTCCCTGCTGCGCCCTGTCCCTCCCAGGGACACTGGCTTTATCTCCAGCAGTGTCTGAATCCCCCTCACAGCAACTCCTAGAGAGTCCCAAAAGCCCCCAAAGCTGGGACAAAAGCGGAGGTGTGACAAACCCCAGAAGGAGTTGGGAGGGTGACAAAGTGAGGCAGTTAAGGGGTGTCAAAGGGGTGCCATTAGCCCAGGAGGCGGGTCCCCATCCCAGTGGAGACCTGGGACCTCCGCCAGCCCTGGCCCCCACCCGTGAGAACAGGAAACACCGGGGCCGGACTCACCATCACACATCACACAGGAAAGAGGTTAGCCTGCAAGGGCTGACCACAGGGCGAGGAAGAGGAGGAGGAAGGCTCTAGAGAGGTGGGGAAAGACCCCCATCCACCCACACACAATTCAGCTCTGGGCTGGAGCGTGGCTGAAGCCCCCTGCCCTCCCTGGGCATACGGGAAACATAAAAATATCACTGTCCCTCGCAACGGGAGAGAGGCTGGGGGCC